CTCTCTCTCTCCTCTCCCCTCATTATATATATATATATGGTATTGTCTACGACACGTTCTCTCACGTTAGAGAACGTGTACAAGTTGTTTTCGTTCTCTAATGTTAGTAGAGAACCTAAAAATAGCTCGCTCGCTCTATCTAACATGGAAACGAGTCGACATTGCTGCTTCCACAGTGCTTACACTTTATTTTCGCAAGCAAGGAAGTTTATTTTCGCGAAATTAAAATGCTCGCGAAAGTAAAGCTGTCTACAGTACCGCATCTTGCCTTTACAGCGACGTTAAACCCCTAACAAGCAACCAACACTTTCTATCATTCCATCGAGACGACACCCCCCCCCCCTCTTTTCATAATAATATGTTGTAGGCCTACACTTTTCACCAAAGGAAAGTGCACTCTGATGCCCCCTCCCCCTAAAACTTTGAATAAGTCACTGAAGATCAGGCCGTTTGTAATAAGTATTTAGAAGATGCCTAGCAGTTTACATGCGATTTCGTATTCCCACCTCAACGCCAAGGTAGGCCTATGTGATACAGCGTGAGAGACCATAAATGATACCAAATTCAAATGTGTGAAAAAACATTGCCGATTTGGTGTGTGATGTAACATCACTGTCATGATATCAAATCACGTGGGTCAAGGTCAAGTCAGTCATATCAACGCTAGGTCTACGATAGGCCTAGATCTAGTGCATGAAATAACCCAATTCAATGAGTGGACTGGCGGACCTATTTGATGTAGATCTAACGACACAACATAATGTAAGCCAATTTGAAAAAGAAAAAGAAAGATTGAAAAGTAGCTTAGCCTTATCCGGAAGTTCAAATAGGGCCCTACAGGCTTAATATTGTTACTTTTTTTTTATTCATTAGAGAACGTAGACAGCTTGTATACATTCTCTTATGTTAGAGAACGTAGACACTTCCTATATTGTATACTGCCACGCTCCGACATAAAGAAAAGGTGGACCTTATGATCTATATAGATACCAACACACTCCAACATAAAGAAAAGGTGGACCTGATCAGTGGCGGTGGGTAGTGAAGTGCTCAGGGGCTTGAGCCCCTACCCCCTCCCCGCCCACCACCCCTAACTCTATCCCAAAGTAAACGGAAATTTCTGCATAATGAAATAAGCAGTTGAAACTGTTATTTATTTATTTTTATTAGCGGACAATAACCGTCCACCCGATAGAAAAGAGGGTCAGATTTCTCCGTCCCTCGGGTGCCTCGGGCAATACCTGCCTCGCTAAACCAGTGGGCACAAGGCCGGAAGAGAAGCTGAGAACAGATACCACCTTTGATCGGAGCCAAAAGGCCGAGAAGCGTTGAAACTGTTATGACCACATGCAGTGAACATAGAGTGATCAACTTGGCGGCTTGCTCGTTTATCCAATCACTGTTGTCACCGCTTACAATACAACTATAGTAACCCAGCAGCCAATCAAATGTCTTTAGGGCTCAGCAAGGGATGAGCCATTTCTCACGGCCCGTCCTTAATGAAACTCTTCTTGTAAAAATGGTAACGGACTTGAAAAAATAACACTGCAGCGAGGGCTCACGCTCTCCTAGCCCTGACAATGGGGTGAAAGTTTACAACACACTTTCCCCCAGTGATACAGATACCTATGCGCCCATTGGTTCTTTGTTGGGTGCGTTCAACTTTCTCAACTACACGACCCAATCCAGCTCATAGAAGTAATTATTAGGTTTGGAGTTCTGTTTGTGCATGTTTTTGTTTGTGACGCTTCGATTTAACAGTTCTAAATGAGGCCGAACTACTTTTAAGGCAACTTTTTCATCACATGAAAATTAATTAGAGGACATTTTGAGGTGAATCGGCTTCGTCCCCACCATCAACAAGAATTTAACTAAGAACAAAGAGATGGAAAATAAAGGTAACTCTTCTCGTTTGAATGGTTCTCTAAATGCCGTGGCTCACCGTGACTATAGAAAAATCATCATCGTTTAGTTCTTTTAGCTTGCTATTTGGGGATAAAAAACTGGAAGCAACCTAAGCCCCACCCAAATGTTGGTCCACCCACCGCTACTGGACCTGATAAGATATATATATATATATATATATATATATATATATATATATATATATATATATATATATATATATATATATATATATATATATATATCTGCCACGCTCCGACATAAAGAAAAGATTGACCTGGTGAGCTATACTGCCGTGCTCCGACTAATCACATTTTTTTCATTTTGGGGCCAACATTTGTTATATCATAAATCGATAATAAAGATTGATTCCCTTCTTGTGAAAAAAAAATATATAAATAAAAATGTGTCTATTGTTTCAATAATTTCTTTTTTTGGTTTATTAAAATGTCTTAAAGTGTACTCCGACAGAACCAATGTTTTTTCACCATGCTCCAACAGAACACAGTTTTTCTTACACATTCACGACCAAGAATCTTAGGAGTGCTCCGACAAAACACATTCCCCCCCCCCCCTCCAATGCGTATTTTCCCACTAATTCCTGATCACGATTGTCATAATACATGTTGCCACCACACCCCGACCGGACGCAGCTGGTTTTCCATTGGTTGAGAATTTATGACGTCATCGTAAGTCGCCTCTTTATGAGGAAAATTTTGGCAAACGACCAGGGGCGAAGACTGGTTTGTTTGAAAGGGTCATGAAAGTGAGACTGAGAACCAGGTAGAAGAGAGGGCACACACGAAACACAGGGAGCTCCCGTGGTCTTAGAGGTAACGGTGTTGGCCTCACATTCAAAGGTCCCGGGTTCGAATCCGGGTAGCGACGAGAAAAAAACTCTTCTCTAAAATTGTCTCCTGTCACCGCCTTTCCTGATCTCTAGCAATGATCTGTCGTCTGCTTTCGTCTCCTCTTACTGCCCTACCCCCTCACCTCCTTTGCCTCCTCCTCTGGGCTTTTCTGCAGCTTTTCTAACGTTACTCCTTGGCTCCTTCTTACTGCTGCCTTTCAGTCACATCCCTGATCTTCCGGTAGGAAAGATCTACACCTAGCCTTCTCGGAAAAGTTCGAAAAATCTCGGAGGCCCCGTGCGCAAGTTGAGCTCGTTAAAAATCCCTTGGTGGTCTAAAATCAATAAGAGTAGGCTTCAGCCGCCACCAGGACAAAAAGTTTAATGTGTCCCGCGCGCTCATTTGACCTTATACAGTTGCGAGCGCCGTAAAACACTTAGGCCTACCAAAACAAAACAAACAAACAAAACTGTCTAAAAACGGCC